ATCTGAGCTTCAGTAAAGCATAGCAGTGATAATCTGTTAAGGATGTTGACTCAGCATGGTCTGTATTGTTTTAAGCACAATTATAATTAGTTTCTTAATAATTTAAGTCCTTGTGAAATAAACACATGCAAATACTCCTGTTTATTGCTACCTTCCATTTACGTCAGTTCTTGAAAATCACCACAGGCTCTGCTTGGAATGAGCAAGCTAAGGGTGAATAATTGTTTTTATTTCTATAATTGTTTTTATTTCTATAACAAGGTAAACCTTTCAATTATGAAATCTGGAAGGAGTTGGAACTTTGGTGTAGGATTCTTTTTACTTGTTTGTCTTTCACACTCTCATGGCAAAGAATTTGTAAAGTATCATCAGCTTCACCTTCTTTCTTTCATTCTAGATTGGTTGCACTTTGGAAGCATCAGAAACTGGCAGAAGTTGTAACCTCAGAATAAATCAAAAAAAATCATGAAGTAGTTTCTTATGTTAGAAATGACTTTAAAATGCACAAATGGAGCTTGGGAAAGCTAAAAAAAATACATATAGCAGGGAAAAATACATGTTCTGAAACATTAAGCCTGTTGGTAAATAGCACCTATCTCTGCTTCTTAGGGTTACAATTCACCCCAGGAATACATTGCAACACAAGGACCATTGCCAGAAACTAGGAATGATTTTTGGAAGATGGTTCTTCAACAAAAATCTCAAATTATTGTTATGCTCACTCAGTGCAATGAGAAAAGAAGGGTATGTAACAAAATCTTATGCATGGGATAAAATAAACTATTCTGCAAACATATATATTTTCTGGTGGGATTCTTTGCATCATTTTCTAATGATGAAGCAGCATCATAGCAAGACCTGGAATTCTACTTCACTCACTTACGGAAGTCATTGCAGGATTGGGTGACTTTTTTCTGGTTATAACTGGACCTATCAGTATGGGTTAAGGATAACTAATGAGCCTTTAAAGGTCTGCTGCAAAGCTTTGAGGGTGGAGAATATACTGTAAACTATAAAAGTTAAGTCTTGATGTGATTTCCTTCATTTTTGGCATGTTTAGGACTGAAGCTAAAACAGGGGTTTGAAATGAGGAAAGCACTAGGTAGTTCTTGTGTTGTAGACTTGAATGTTTTGTCAGGGCAGGGTGGGTTAATGTACTTCCTCCTATCTCCACAGTTATCTCAGAGTGCCTAGAATGTGGATTTTATGTATTATTTTAAGTTTAAAACAATAAAAAAAAATTAGGCTTTACATGTTCCTTGACATTATAATGGGGTCATTTGCAAATACATTTTTGGTTTTTTTACCCCATAAATTCTTGTTCCTCATATTTTGTAAAACTAACACTTTTAGGCCTACTTATTAGAAAAAGTAACAATCTACAAACAATGTGTGTATTTCCACTCTTTGCTGTAATAATGTTCCCATTCAAAAAATCAGTATATAACCGTGTCCATAGTTGCACAAACAAGAATGATGAGGCTAAAAAAGTCATTGCAGTAAATATTACCATTTACTAAGGTGTCCAGGACACCTGTACTTCCAGTACAGGAAGTAATGCTGTAAGCATTTCTAAAATTGAGATTAGGTATACTTTTGATTGTGATTTCTTGTTTTATATATATATTTGTATGTATGTATGCATGGATATATATTTTCCCTTTTCAGGTGAAATGTGACCATTATTGGCCTTTTACGGAAGATCCTATTGCATATGGGGACATCACGGTGGAGATGCTGTCTGAGGAGGAGCACACAGATTGGGTTTATAGGAATTTCCGAATTAGCTACGTAAGTGAAATGTGTTGCATTGCTCTACTAAAGCAGTGGACCAATTTTGATCCAGGCTTTTCTTTAACTTTTATTCATCACTGGCATTCGGTGGAAAACACCTAAGAGAAAGATTACGGCCCTACTCTCATTCCTCAGACAAACATCAACATTGTTTGACACACTTGCCCCTGAGATTGTGAGCTTCTCAATAACAGGCAAGAAGAGGTTAATGGTACCTTGGCTAAGCATATGGTGATTGAAACACAAGCAGTTCTGGGGTTCTGGACATTTCTGTGGTGCAGACAGTTAGAGGCATTGAACCTTTTTTAAATCTATCTCAGGCACTGGCGACTATCCCCGTGTTATAAACCATTCAAAAGTTGAAAATGCCAATACAGAAACTGAAAATATTTTCCAAGAGGGCAATTATGCAATATCCATAGCATAGGCTTGGTGCATGTCTCGGACAGGATCTTGAGTAAAGCAGAGATGTCCACACAGCTGGTTCTCCGCTCCTTACTGCTGCTGAAATAGAACATCTTTCTGCTTTCACTTATTAAAGCAGAGGAAATGGGAGAGTCCATCACAACCAGCTAAGCTTCCTGTGTGCTTCTCAGTAAAGCATGTGAAAACACAGCTAGGAACTGGCAGACTAGTTTAGAGAACTTGCATACAGGATCAAATAAAATGCCAGGTAGTCATACGTGGAAGCAAGCGTTTGACCTCATCTCTGCATTGCGTTATCCTCTGATATCAACAAGTTCATTCTTAAGACATTTTGAGCTTGACCAAACTTTAGAATTACTGACATTCACATAAGCAGATGAGATGACCAAATTAAAGCTGTTCAGATTTTCAAACACTTTTTTTCAGCTTTGTTTCCTGGAACAAGTAGTTGCAGGCTTCAGCACTTGAAGCAAAGGTGAGAAATATGGAGGAAACATGACAAAAGCTATGCTCTGACACTTTGACATTGGCCTAGGATCTCAGTCCTACTCACACATGCCAAAGTGTGCACAGGGAGTACGAATGCAGAAAACATGATGAAATCAGCTCAGAGGTGGAGCTGTTGGTATCTGTTAAAAATAATGACCCGGATGCAGTTTGCAGTTCAGATAAACTGCTGATTGCCAAAATTAGGGAGGCTGCCTTAGGGTCTTTTATACTGATCTCACTTTTCATACCCTTAGTTACCATCTGCTGTTGCCAGTGACCGGGGAGAGGTTACTGGAAGAGAGGGATTTAGCCTCACCCAGAATGGCAAAATTAAAAGCAATAATTGCTTGCCAGGAGCTGTGGTGATGAGCCACCCCTGCCACACCCCAAGTTTTGAGTTCTTGTAAGTCTCAAAGCCACAACGAGTTGTGTTGAGGATCTTACTTCACCTACAGCTGGTAGAGGTCTTAGTATGATAAATGCTTTTGTTAATAATGGGTATTTTCTGTGGAAGTTCCTTCTCCCTCTGAAAGTGGTGGTGTTGGGAGGTGATATTTTTCTTTCTTTCTGCTTTTTTCTTTCTCATTGAAACTTGAAAAGAAAAATTCTCATTAGACTAGTTTACCAACAGTGTTGTTCTTTGTGGCAAATGGAAAAAGAAATAGTAAGGGAATGGAATCGAAAGAGGAAGGAAGCCCAAACCTGAAAATTACAACAGTTTTTAATCAAATGTCACGTAAGACATGCTGTGTCATTTTTTGACCAGCTTTACTTACTTAGGCTGCATTTGGAAAAAGATCTTGGTCAAACTGCATGTGACTGCTCTGTCCAAACTTCTGTGAACATGCTGCCACTCTGCTTTTCCCATTAGGCCGATGAGGTGCAAGACGTGATGCATTTTAACTACACTGCCTGGCCTGACCATGGTGTGCCCACAACCAACGCTGCTGAAAGCATCCTGCAGTTTGTACAGATGGTCAGACAGAAGTCAGCAAAGAGTAAAGGCCCCATGATTATACACTGCAGGTAAGTGCTTCAAGGAAATGGAGAATTAAAGGACATAACTTGTCAAAGACCTCTTAAAACCATTGGAAGGAGAGATTCTGGGATTAACCTATTAGCTGGAGATTATCCTCTTTGCTTTTAAGGGAAAAGGACTAATGCCTCTGAATAGAGTGGGCCTGGGATTTCAACCTGCATCCATAGGCATTGCTTTATGTGAGCAATTTGGCTCATATAAGCAGATAGCTTCATGAAGAGCAGCAGGCTGTACTGATTTTACACCAGCTGAAAGTCTGCCCTTGCTTTCTCATTTCCACTCCTTTGCAACTTGGAGGGTGCAACCTGGACAGCAGTCTGCCGCAGCATGTTTTTTTCCTGCAGAAGTGTCTGTGGAGAGCGTCCTCCTCCACTCACTTCACACTCAGCACTTTCAAACAGGGCATATTAACAACGCTACCTCATGCGAGCAGTAATCCCAGTATTCCATGATAACAATTACATGAGATTTTTGTTTTTGTTTTTTTCTTGAAGGAAGCTTGTTTTATATACTGGCAGATTTATCTCTTGTGCGTCATCTGGCCTTTCATTAGCGCGCTTGCCTACGTGGCCACTCTGGGGGCGGCTGTGGTGTTAGTGATGATATCATTCCAGCTTGTTTCCTGATGCAGCTCTCCCAATTGACTTCAAATCTCTTTGTGACTCTGATTGCTAGAGCTACTCAGAATAGATTTTTTGGAGGTACATAAATAGCAGGGTTGCAGTGGATGAATATGTGTATACTAGGATGACACACTCCCACTGGAGGTCAAGGCTTGATGAGATGAGCGTCAGCCTACCCTGCATCACCCGCCTCAGAGGCAGTAAACAGTTATATGTTGCTGCACAGCATGTCAGCACCCTCCAGTGATGTCTTTCCTGTTGCTAACATGATGGTTGGCACTTTCTGTCTCTTGCAGCCACTTTTGGCAGCTATTTCTCAAAAAACAGTCTTTTATAGCAATATGATTTCTGGTTGCAGATATGACATTAAGTGTTCTACTAGGAAGCAAAGCAAAGGCAGCATCTGCAAAAGCAGCAAGACATGCAGCCCTCCCCTGTAACTTATTGGAGAAATTCATAGGGAATATAGTTTTGGGATTGAGTCCTAATAGCAAGAAAGATGCTAGTAAGCCAGGGAAGGGATTTATATGCAGGACTGTGAAATCAAATCCTCTGTATAACTCTGCTGGCCTTAATTGCTATGGGAAGAAGTAGGAGCAAGCATGAGAGAGCTGAACAACAAATGTAATATCTTCTTTTTAACTGGGATACTCCTACCTGCAAAGAAATATATTTTCAAATGGTATTTTCAGGGTATATTGTACATCTTGGACCATGCTATGGCGTTGCAGGACAGGGACTGATGGCCCTGGGCTGGGCTGAAATGGGGGTCCGGGAGGATGGGGGAAGCCTGGGAGGGTGGCAGGGACAGGGAGGGCTGCGGGTGCCTGCTGGGCCATGGCAGTGTTGAGCTGAACTGTTGCAGCTTTTTCGCAAATATTTTCACGGCCTTCCTGAAAATTGCAACAAGGCAACAGAAGCAACTGGCACTAAGACATACACTTCTACCCATAGTGGTAGATACTGTGCTGGCTGGCACTCTATATGAGTGCAACTTTTTTAGAGATTTGAAACCTCTAAAAGCACATCCATAATGTAATCGTAGAATTGAACATTACTTGTGAAAGGCAAGGCAAAAGAATTATCTGCATACTAGAAACTCTAAATCAAACCAGTGCATCACTAAGCTTCCCTTTGCAGGGATGAAGATTTGTCAGGTGGGTGCTTGCTGCCAATTTCTATCTGGTACTCCCAAGGCAGAAGTCCCGGAGTGTAGCCTCTTCTGACCACCAAGCCCCACGAGGCCATCTGCTGAGGATGAACTCCAGTAGTGCAGCGCCCTTGCCAAGTCATTAGTTCCCTGGGTAGAGAGCTATAGAGCTAAATCCTTGCAGGTTCAGTCACAAATGCCTGGGTGCAGTAATCATTGCAGAGTGGGTCTTTCTGCAGTTACAGCTACAGCTCCTGTAGTTCAAGGTTTCTTATCACTTTGAAGAGAGGAGGGAAGTATGAGGGTACAGGGGAGCTGGCAGTGAGACTGGGATGAGCGAATTCCTAAGGGTGAATAAGCATGTGCATGGATGCTTTGCATGTAAGTGTGCATACGAGATGAAAAGGATATATAGGAAGGTGAAATGATTGCAGAGCTATCCATTCCATACATTTTGTCTAAGCAAAATACAAAGGCTTGCATAGCATCATATCCTACAGATTAAATAGCCTCCTGTCTGCCCTTCAGTTAGACACATCAGATTAACTCAGCTGCAGGACACCTGCCCTTTGCAGCACCACAGATTTTCCTCTGCGTCCTCATCAGAAAAGCCAGAAATGACGGTCATGTCTGTGTGTGTTGCAGTGCTGGAGTGGGACGAACAGGCACCTTCATAGCCCTGGATCGCCTCTTACAGCACATCCGTGACCACGAGTTCGTAGATATATTAGGTCTGGTGTCTGACATGCGATCCTATAGGATGTCCATGGTACAGACAGAGGTAAGGAGCCCCCTTCAGCTCATTTCAACAGTAAGAACATACCATCGTGTCTATTTTGTGCTTCTCTGTAGCATGTTCACATCCAACAACTCTTGTTCCCATTGAACATCTGACAAAATAGCTATGAATAGAAGCAATTAAATTTTCTTCTTCATTGTAATATTGTCACATTACTAGTCTACTGTGTGAGTAATCATATACTAGAGCCTGACAACGTATCTACAAACTCACTGATGTCTGTCTTCCAGAGAGGCTGAGTTGTTGTCACCTTGTAGAAAATGAATGTGTAAAAATGTATTAGAGGAGATTAGCATTTGCAGTTTTCAAACGATTTTGAAAAGAATTGGACTTGCAGAAGGGGTTAATCACTCATGGACAAATATCAGGGTTGGACAGCCATTCACACTCGTTCAAGAGGCGATCATCTGGCCAAGCACATGTACTAAGTTACAGGATGGCAGTACAAATATGCGAAGTAAAACGGACAAAATAATTGTGTACGGGCCTGCCAGACACCCTCCTTCCCCCTCTCCCTACATGTCTATGGGAGTTTTTTTTTAAGGAAAATGTCAGGAGAACATTCATATCATCAGAATATTTTTATGGAAAAAAATGCACAAACTCCTTGTTCCAAAGCAGGAACTTTTATGCATTCCCAGTGCCTCTAGTGTGGCTAACGACTGAAAGGTTTCATGCCCGTTGTACTAGTCGCTGATTAGACACAGTATAGACTAGTAGTCGCCATATAGCTGGAAGTGCCACCATCACTGGTTGCAGGCTGGTCTGACAGATAATCTGTTGCCAAGAATTACTTAATCCAGACCAAAGTAGCATGGATGGGACAGGAGAAGGAAAATCTGCAGTGACACTGATTAGCGCCACTAAGTGAATGAAAAAAGTCTTTCTCAGAAGCCACCAAACTGCCACTTTTCTTCCCAATTTACTAACTTAATTCAAAGGCAGAGCCTTAGGTAAACACCAGAGGAGCAAATATTCATGGCCTGGGTTATTTCAGCTACAACTGCATTACCACTCCAGTGGTGCTGAGATTTTTTTTTGCTTTTTTAACATGTGCACACTCCCGGCCGGGCTTTGGCAGCCTCTAGTCCTGCCACTCCGGGACATGGGCACCCCCCCCATGGCTGCTGCGAGGCTGCTGCGGCCAGTGGGGCTCGTCCTGCTGCCATGGCAGCATTGCATCACACCAACCTCTTTTCACTGCCAAATACTCAAAAACCCACAAATGCAGACTCATACGTCTTTTTCTCCCCCACACAGCCATGCGGCAGGGGTCACTAGGTGGCAGTGACACTCAGGTACAGAAGCAACCAGCACATGGGGCTTCCGTTACAAAACCTGAAACCGCACACGCTGCTCACCTCGCTTCATATTTCCTCATAAACTGGAAACTTGGCTGCGTCTCACTGAGCAATTGAAAAAAAAATGGCACAAACCCAGGCGGGTGGTTAAAGCGGTGACCATCCTGAATCGAAGGCAGTCATTGCAAATTAATGGGTGGGAGAAGAAAGATTTGTGGCCCGAAACATGCTTCAAATATGTATTGATATCTCCTCAGATCAGCAGACCACTGGGGATACGCGCTGAAATCCAGCCTTGAATTTTGGAGCTTGAAACCGCCTCTGTGTTGGGAGAGTCATTTCTGATTGAGATCCACTTGCTCCCTGCATGTGGTGCACATAAAGCTTGCTGTAGGGTTCAGGCTTTGCCTTCTCTCTCTTTGGAAAAAAAATCTTAAATGATGAGATTTAGATTTCAGATTGAAAATAGGTTTTATTTGTATGATGAGAATGCTTAGAAAAGCCAGTCTGAAAGCAAAACCGAAACCAGCTAACCAACAAACCCCCAAAATCCCAGTCTGTTGCCGTAAAACTTGCCCATGGATATAATGGTACACATGATTTACCCACCTTGCTTACAGTGTCATTTTCACAGAGGTTGATGATCCCTCAAATAATTACCTGCTCTGTGTACAAAATCAATCATGTTTTTTCAGGTGGGGTGTGTGTGTGTGTGTGTGTGTGTGTGTGTGAGAGAGAGAGAGAGACAGACAGACAGGCAGACAGACAGAGAGATAGGCAGACAGGCAGACAGACAGACGGAGTGATGGATGGACTTTGTTATCTTTCTGAGAATTAATCCATTTTCAGGCAATATAAGGTCGATCCATTTCCTGAATAACACAGAGATCCTCCAAGCTGAACAGCTGACAAGTTAAGATACCTACAACCAAAAGACATCTAGTGCTGAGGATACAGCACTCGGCAGGTTCCTGTAGTCAGCTGCACTTGTGCACTGGCCAGGACCATAAGACTAGTGTTCCTAGTCCTGCAAAATTGCTACCAAGGACTGCTCCAGAGCCCGTGGCAGTGAAGGGCCTTGTTTCATACTTAAAGGGAAAAGATTCCCTGCACACGCAGCCACGCAATTACTTACTCGTCGGGAAGCATGCTGCTTAGCAGTGCTGTCTACTGCAGGCATCTCACTCCTGCACCATGGCCACTCTCCAAAGAGCAGGCATTTACTTGCAGAGCCTCTTGCTGAATCTTACATAATTCACAAGAGAAGACAAGTCAAAAGAGGAAGTATGAACGATAACAACTATTGTTTCTAAATGCAAGCAAGGTTACTAGCAAGCCAGCTTATAATGATGGATACAGCACTTTTCTCACTGCATAGCTGCGACTTAGAGTATATTATTAGAGTTTAAATTTGCCACTAACAGGAGGAGCTATGAGTAAAGAGACTATTTTGTTGGTTAATCATAGTTACTGGTAAAACCCTTCATGCTAATCTCAAGTAGTCTAGCTTCAACTTCCAGTCAGGTAACATCAATGCAGCCTACACTGCAACTGCAGTGTTGATTCATCACTCATCATCGTTTGGGTTATTAATAAGTTATTACAGTGCCAGGCTAGTTCAGGTGAATGTAATGTTTCCACAGCTGCTCTCTGCAACAGTTAAGTGCTATTACTTTGGGAGCAGACATTTCACTATAGGTTGCAGGGGGCTGAGGAGGGAAAGACAGATAAGCTGTGCTGACCATTACTATGAACTAGTGAACTGTTTCACCGTTTAGATTTTTGTCATGCTTTCTAAGGTGCAAAAGCCTCATTTATGTGGTCCTTTCTTTCAGGAACAATACATTTTTATTCACCAGTGTGTGCAATTGATGTGGCAAAAGAAGAAGCAGCAATTCTGTATAAGCGATGTCATATATGAGAATGTCAGCAAGTCCTAGTTCAGAATCACAGGTGGTAAGTCAAGCAAGCCTGTCCTTGCATAGTCCTCACAGTTTGTCATCATGGCTCCTTTGTAGCATGGTAGCAAGTGATGGAACTGATATTTGTTCCTCATGCTCCAGGAGCTCTGCTTAGGGTTTGGAGCTTTCTGTGCCTCGTTCCCCTCTGAGGTGATTTTTCACATGGAGACTATACATATAAAAAAAATCCCTTTAGCTTCTTGCATTAAATAATCCCTCATAATTCCCATGGTAACATTATTGGCTCACTAGTTGTTCAAAGAAGAAAAGAATCCTTTCTGAAAAAGCCATTAACGATTTCTGTCAATTGTTTCTAATGCACTTTGCAAAGTTTAAAGGGGTCATCAGGCGAGCACTTGATATCTGCAGTCATTCTTAAGTTACTTGCCAACTGCCAACTTAGCAAGGCCAACAAAGATTTCAGGGAGGGTCTCCCAACACTATTTTCAAGTCAAGAGAGCCTGCTGAAGAGCCAGATAGTAACTAAAAAGCTCTGACATAAAACCCTAGGGATTTTTTTTTTTTAGGCTAAAACTAGGGAACAGGATAGGTTTCAAATTGGTACTAATGTTAGCATAAAAAGATAAAAATAAAAAAACCCATAGTCCTTAACTGCTGAGCCCCAGTGACTGACGTGTGCATGCACCTAGCCTGGCCAAGTTCCCAATTGTAACGTCAAACACACTGCTCTAGACCACCAGGAAGGAGATTTGCAGACGTCTGTCTCGTTCATGTAAGCAAACACATTTCCTTACACAGCGAGGAGAAACTGTGACAAGTGCACAAGCCAGTTTCTGCTGCTTGAGCGATAAGCTTTAGTTCATTAGGTAGCAGTGACAAGCCACAAGCCTAATGTTGGCTTTGGAGTGAAGCAGGAGCCAGCACACTTCTAAGGCCAGCTGGCTTCTCAGATAGCCTGTAGAGAGATCGGCTCTGGGCATGTGCACCAGCCGCCACGGCACTGTTCATATGGTGTTAAACACCTTGGCTAGCCTCTGCCGACTTCATTGCCCCACAATGTGCACGTGCCTCAGTTTCCCCAGTGTCTAGGTAGTTTACTGTCTAATCCAAATCCCAGAGCCTGGTTGTTTGCAGGGATGGGCTGTAGTCCCCTCCCGTATGTGTGTCTGGTAAAAATAAATGCTAAAGACTTTATTTACTTCCTTATTTATCTCCGTTTGTTCTGTTCCAGGTGAGACCATGAAGCACACCCATCTTCCCTCGCTTCTGAATTTTTTTTCTTTTGATGGTTTGAACTGCCAGTTGTTCTGCCATGAGAGACCACTGCTTTGCAGTACGCGGACAATGAAAGAAAGAAACTTTAACTTTTAGAAGCTTTGGGGAGACAAAGCCTTAAAGAGCCTGCGGTGTCTTTTGAACTGTTTAATTTCTGGACATTTTTTTAACTACTGGACCAAATTCGACTATATAACATGAAGGAAAAGACACTATACTATGTGCATAAAACAGATTGCTCCAGAGTGTTGGGTTTTTTAGTTTGGTACTTTTGGTTAATCTTTTTTTCTGTGCAGGTTGAGCTTAAGGTTAAAGCAAGTGCAATATTTTTTTAATGGTTGAATGAAGAGCTTTGAAGAGCTTTCTTCATGTGTCACCAGTCTGTGCTAAAGTCCATAGGAGAGCAGGCATTGTTAGTATCTAATAATACCTCATTAGTGAATAGCGAGGCATGAATATACATGAAGAAATCTGGAGATTGTGAAGAGAAAATGGGGGGAGGGTGCTGGGTACATTGATTTTTACTGTTTCCTGCAGCACTGACATTCTGTACCTGGGGGAGTGGGGAAAATGCAGGCCCCCAGGAACTGATTAACGGTCAGAAATCCAGCCCATGAAGCCTAAAGCTAGAGGAGGCAGCTTACGTAGAGAGATGTGGTTGTTTTGGTTCTGGACTGTGCTCCTACTAATTAAGCAGCGGGATGGTTCTTTTCTCCAACCTTTTCGGTAATGGCACTGATCAGGTTAATTTTTTTAAGCTAAAGCTAATCGAAGTACAGATGAGTCTGAAGCTGGACTATCTTTGACTCCATCACTATAACATTTAACTGTCCGAGCAATCTATGGTGCCTATACCCCTTATTTGTTTATTATTTTTAATATGTATTAACCCTGTGTAAAAATGTGAAGCTGATTCAGGTTGGGGAAAGAAAGTATGTGCTTTAACGGTTGTAACTATTTCTCCAAGCCAGGAATTCATGATGTTGTGGAGACCAGGTTTTCGGCATGTGAAGGGATGGTTATCGCTTTATCGCGACGAGGCTGCCAAAGCGTCGGTCTGGATTCCTGCAGGGACTTTGGGGCCAGGGTTGGGGCGGGGGGGTGGGTGGGGGTGGGGGTCCTCTTTCCTTTTTTGCTGTCGGTTTCCGTTCTAGTCAGAATAACTAGCTCTCTATATATTTTTTTTGGTCTTTGTATAATTCCGGTACATCATTGTGTATTGTGACCTGGATGCTGTCAGAATGGATGTTGATGGCATTTTGTAACCTGTTGCTTTGTGTCACCTCCTTGGAAGTTAGCGGCAATGGTACTCAATGTAAACAAAGCAAACTTGATCTGAAAGTAAACACACTGGATGGCTTACCTGTGTAGCTGTCACTGTCAGCCAAGCGGCAATGCCCCCACGCATGCTCTCCATCCGCCCCCCGGGGCCTGCTATCAGCTGGCAGGCTACCAGGGCATAGCTCAGTAGCTCAGCTACTTCCACGGAGCCTGATCACCTCCTTCAGATGGTATTTGATTTTTTTTTTCCTTCCCCCAAATAATTATTCCACCATCGGCTCCATAGGTGCATATTTTAATAGCGACTTTGTCACAGAATTGGTTACAATGAAAAACTTCCTTTAAACTGTCCCCTATGTCCTATACAAAGACAAGTAGGCTCAGCCTATCCCCCCCACCCCCTAAACCACAAACAGCTTCTTGTGAGGTTATTAGAAAAAAAAACAGGATGCTACCTCTTCTTAAGTGGGTATGGTATGAATTTGCCCCTGCCCTGGCAGCTCCTGCGTAGTACATAACACCGGCCAAGCTCTCATCTCCTGGCTTCGCCCACTCCTCACACTTTCCATAAATCTAATATTACTTCTGCAGTTTCCACTTTGCCCAGACTTAAAGCATAGCTATTATTTCTGTAAACAAGATTCCTAGAGCTGATACAAATGGGCAGACAGCCCAGTCTTTAGGGGGTAGATTACTAACAAGAAAGCTTCAATAGCACAGGGTTCACCACTGTCTCAGCTGTGTGCCTGGGCTGGAGGGCTTGCTACTACAGTAGCAATGAGAAAGGTTTGCCTGGTCTCATTTGAACAGAAGCCAGAATTGCAAATGTGCTCTTGACCATTCAGCCTCTGCATTTGTCTTTTTTTTTTGTTTGTTTGTATTTCAGAGTGGCATTAAGTGTTTACTGAGAAAATGTGTCCACCCCCTCTAGAGAACTTTTAGCAGGAAAAAACCAAATTTCCTGTTTTTCCATCTGCTGCCTCCCCCAACTGCTGTGCATTGCCTACTGAAAGCCTAGAACAGAGCCTAAAATATCACAGCGTGAGCTGGCTGCAACAAGCCATTGCCCGGTCATGACATGGTGCTAGACTACTGCTGCAAAGATGCTAAAACGGTACTGTTGCAACCCATACTGCCTTGATAGCCTGAATATACAAGGCAGCTTTTGAATACAATACAAAGAATTGTTTCACTAGCAGGTGAACAGCAGTTTTTTTCTTTTCATAGTTACTTTATCACACAATGGTTAAAATGAAAAAAAAAAAAAAAACCTTCCAAAAAAATTCCTTTCCTACCCCCATATGTGAAATTGCATAATAGTGTGTGTTGGGTTGGCAGTGGAAATCTTTTCTCCTAGAGGGCTTTAAAGTTGTAGCTAAAGGAATAAAAGATTCTGGGAGACACGGTGCTTTGGAAGAGTAGTACAGATCCTTTTAGCATGAATTGGCATGCTGTACCTTCAGTTTTACTTTGCCACATTTATTGAAAGCCAGTCCAAAAAAACCTTTACTTTGAATTCCTGTTGCATGTTGATATGCTTTCTAGTATCCACCAAAACAGACCTCTCAAGTCATCACAGATCTGTAATGCTGCCTCAGCTCTCAGTTTCTGTAATGAATTGTTTGAAGGACAGGTTTCATTGCTACAGCTGGGCTGATACTCTAGGTGCTCTACAGTGATGCGCTGCACTTACAGCACCTATAGAGCCAGTTGCGTTTAAAAGCAGCTCTGCACACTGAACGACCATTTATCTCATCCAGAGAGGGTTTTCCTCATTATTGCCTGATATGGTGCGTGTTGACATGACAGGAGCAAGTGGGTAAACCTAAGGACATGTCTTAGAAGAGTGAAGAAGTTCTTAGAGCTGTAGGCAAAAGCGTTGTCTCTTCTGACATGCTCTGTGCAGTGAGTGACTTCTGGCACAGCAGGCATTTCAGACCTATTTCCTTGCTTCCTCCTGCAAAGATTAAGAATCGTTTGAAAAGAACTAATTGTACTTTATTTCATTTTTACATTTTTTTTCTGTGCCTAAAGAGAGAGGACAAAGTCACCCCTTGTCAAATAGTCCACACATAATCCTGTACATCAAAATGGCTCTTTCCTCCCCATAAATTCATCAACCTCCCTGTCTCTTCTAACTTTTTAAAGGGCTTGTACGAAAACACAAGTTTCACAGAGCTAGGCAAAACCTGTTGCTTTTGGCCACTTCTTGTGAAAAGATAACATTGTTAGCGCTGTTGAAATGGATGGGATCAGCAGGTTTTGAGCTTTCCCTGTGACAGACATCAGTGGGAAGTGGGAAGTGTCTAGGAAGTCTCTCTGTTTTCTTTGATCTCCTCCTTTCTTAATCTACAAACGTTATCAAGAAGTAGAAGCACAAACATCAATATCCCACTACTGTTTTTGATCTGGATGCTCGTGTAGTAAAAGGCTGAAGTTGCAACTTTTACCCAAGCACATAGCTGAAGAAAGACACTGAAGAGCCAAAGGCACTTAGGCACGGATTAGCTGAAAAGTAATGTAACAGGGGTTAAGATTCAATCTGCTTGTGCACTAAAAATGCACGCTTACACATTTCCTTATGTATGTAGCCCACAAAAACAACTCTATTGCATCCACAGGGGTGAGAGGCTGAGCACAGAAATGCAGTCTCTCAGATACTGTCTTGATGCTTCAGGCTTAATCCTTAGACAGGACTGCTTATTTCCTTTTTTTAAACATTACACCAACTTCATAGACAAGGAAAATATCCTGGCAAAATGGGGCTGCTATAAAATGGTGACTTGGCTAGAAGCATGAGGCTCCTTTAATAGTCACGTTCCTCTTATTCATGAGAAGCAGCCCAGAAAAAATAGCAGACGCTTAAACAGAAGTGCAGGTATACAGACTGCCTCTTGCTTCTGCGCCTCCTGAAAACTTCCAAACACTCAAAATGCCTTCACTCTCAAAAAAAAAGAAAAAAAAAAGCGAGAGAGAGAGAGAGAGAGATGCTAGATCCACATTGTATTATTTTTTCTTGGGTGTATTATTTTTTCTTGGGTTTCTGTTTGTTCCCTTAGTTAAATTAGTGAAGCGCTAAAGTTACTGACCAGCAAAGCACTTCCAAGGACAGTTTAATAGTTTCACAAACACTGATGAGTATCATTAAAGTCACCGGCAGCTCAGCACATTTCAAAATATCATATCATTTCAGATGCTTCCAAAGAAACCACTGATTTCTGCACACATCATACTGTGCAAATCTGCACGGATTTTCTCAGCCCAAAGTAACACCTATTGTGTTTTATATAACACAATAAAGCAATAATGATTTTGGAGCAATAAAGGTACATTAAAAAAATCTCACTTATAAATCACAGTTTGTCTGAGCCAAGCACCATGTAACATTTGAATTGATAGATGGTATGTAACCTTTTCCATGTGTTAATATTGGAAGTGTAGGTCAGGTGTGTTCTTTCAAATGAAATGTGAGGTTTCACAGTGGTTTTCTTCCCCATGATCTCCCTAGGGAAGCAGCAGACTAAAGGGGTGGAAAGAAGTGACACGCTAATGTTTAAAAGGTATGTGCTTAGAAAGCCTAAAACTTCTGAGTGATGTATGCTGCTAAGACTTGCCCTCACTCCCAGTTAAAAATGTAGACTCAATGACAGCAAAACAGTAAAGTAGTTATTATGTTATCAAACACCATCCCTTTCCTCACATTTGAGAAGGCATTTTTATTGACTGCATTTTCCTCAAATGTTAGTGTCAAACAAAAATTTCCTCTCTGCTCAAATCCTCAAGAAAATATTTTGAATGAAATATTTGACCATTTGACCATTGTTGTTTTCATCTAAGACTCTGAAAAAAAGAAAACATTTTATTTTCATTGAATTACCCAGAATTAAATTTCCTTTTCATTTCCTATAATTGCCAGCAAGCTGAAAATTCAAAGACTTTTCAAGTGGAAGGGAGAAGCTCTCCAGCGTGCCTTAAACCACCAAGGTAATTTTAGCACAAAAGGGAAATGCCTGCCTTAATGCCACTTAGATTTCACAGACTGTTACCCAGAAATCATATTATCTAATTTAGCACAGCTAAAAATAGACAGGTTTTTCTGCTTATCCTTAAAGTACATGGAAGGAATTGCCTGTTTTTCTCCTAAGTATCTCCAAAGAAGCCTCTGACCATGCTGACCACGTTCAAATTTATCTGGTTCTTCACATACCAGCTAACAATAATATAGGAGTGCAGCTTCAAAACAAGTTGTGAAGCTGCCTCTTCTCTCTTGGGGACCAAATATGGTGCTTCTGCCATGAGCCCTGCGTACCACCAACAAATGGAAGGAGACTTGGAGCCAACTCCTCCTTTCAGGCAAAAGCAAACGTTATGTTGAATGCTGGATAAACCTGCAGAGAACAGGAATACATATTTTGACCATTACCAAAGGACTAGAGGTGCAAGTAACCACCACAACCCCTTTTCTGGTATCAGACACATTTTCCACACAAACAGAGAGAGACTAATTTTCAAACATTAGTCTCAAAGACCTTTTAAGAAGTATACTCCTCCTGTATTTACAAGCAAAGTAGCACTTGTGTAGAAATAGCATGAGATCTTGCTTTATTTTGTTAGTTATTCATCACTCAGCGTAGGGCACTTGGCTGTACAGTGAACACTTTTTTGGGCTAAGTACAGACACTTATTAAAGAGGATGAGGAATAGAATTTTAAATTTGAATCAGATAATAGTTAAGTCTTTGGAGGACTGGACTTGGCCTTTGATGACAGGACACAGTGAGACTGACAATTTTATCCCATAAAGCTATGTATACAGGTTGAATGGATGCAGTTATCATAAAGATGTTCTGGTTCAAATGTTTCGTAAAGGGAGAAGGGAATCACTTGTTTCTTCAACTGGGTAAGACAAGAATCCATTTCTTGGTCATTGCTATGGTGTTTGGAGACTTCAGTTTGGGGTTCTTCACTTCCTGATCCATTTCTGGAAAGACTACGTTTAAATGACAGGTGCCATTTAAAGTACCTATGTACTTTTAACAGGCATAAAGAATATATATTAAATGTAAAAATATGCACGCACACACATTTATAGAGAGACACATAACCAACACATAGCAGTATTTGTAAGGACATTTACAATGAATGGCACTAAACATCTTTATTAAGATTGGAATTTTTCTTTTATGAAAAAATGAACATGATTCTTTTTTTTCCCTGTACGCAGAGGAAGAGCAAACTAACAGCAAAAATCAAGAACACTTTCTTATGTCAATACCATCTTTGTAGTCACAAAGATACAACAGTTTAACAGACATGAAATACTGTTTATTGCAGACTTTAAGCTGATTCTTGTGAAAAAGGCACTCTGAAACTTAATCAAACTAGACGATTAAATGTCTAAATTAAGTGATATTATATATTATATATAAATACATATATTATATATAAAATCACAAGACCATGTGAAACAACAGAACATTTTTTGTGACAAAAAAATCACTATATTTTCAAAAATAATATCTGCTGGAAGGGATGTTCCTTTTGTCCCCCTTTTGCTTCTGGGAGTCCACTTTTTCAAAAGATTAAGTCTATAAAGGAACAATAATAACTTTTTACATACAGCAAAATTGACATGTGGGATCAACACAGAAAAAAGTCTAGATTATACACTGTTCTTTTGACAGGTTAAGTTACAAACAAAAAATGCAGGTCTATATAAAAAAAAGTACTGCAAATTCTTTCATGGCTACCTACAGCAGATCTGATCACCTCTTTCAGCTGACTTGTGTTACTATTGTCTGTTTATTCCTTGCTGTATAATATTATGGTTCATCATGAGTGAAGCACTGATAAAATCAAAGTACAGAGCATTATTTTGCCATAAACAGCATGATTAGTAATAAAACATCTCGAGAGCGGTGTGAGAAAGATTCAGTCTATGTTGGGGCTGCTGTTCGTTCTCTAAACTTTTCCTCTTTGATTGCTGGCACCAACGACTAAGCTAAATCTCCTGTAGTTGAATGCATGACAAGAAAGCCTGAGCCTAAAAGACAGAATTGCAAGCAGGAGATGGAATTCAAAATCATATTATTACTGAAGGGTTCAAACGCTGGCTCAGCTTCACTAGGATAAATCCAAAACAAAGATGTGTTTTTGTTTATCTATCTAATGGTTACTTCCATAAAGTCAAGACTTGTCTTTGGGTGCAAGCGGTTCAAGTGCCAATATTTTCACTTGTCAGGAACTTTCATTGCATTTCTCATCTATTCATTTTGAATCATGAGAAGTCAGCAGCAGGCATTTCTGTGAAGACTGACTGTAAATTTTCTTTACGGTGATTAGTTATGTTTACAAAGTAATAAGACTCCTTCACTGCTTCCTAAAGCAAAGCATGATGGTATAATGTTAGGGACAATGCACTTAAAGAAAAGAGGAAAGACGCTTAGTGGCTGCTTCCTTCATCAAAGGACTCCACTCCTGAATCTGTGGCAGCTGCACTGATTTTTTCTTGTCGTCTTCTCATAATTTCTTGCAGTTCTGAACTACCACTGTTAGCCTATAAACGAATACAATGGAACAGGAGTTATTCTGTGGTTGTGACAAAGGATGAAGATTCTCTGAAAACATTTTATTAAAAGAGATGCTTGAACAAATTAAAATCGCCTTGACGCACCACAACCGAAAATGCACCAAGAATAACGTTGTTAAATAACGTTTGGAATAGGAAAGGTTTACACTGTTCTAGACTGTTGACCAGAAGAGAGCCTGCAGACTATTAAAAATGTCATCGTGGCTTTTAACACTACTGAGCACGTTTACTTCTCGCGTAAGTCCCTTAAAATGTTGCATATTTATGGGGTGAAATGTTGCCTCTGTAAACACAGGGTTAAAATCCTCCAAGTTTGTTAGGATTCCACCCATGAATACTTTAAAGTCAGGGCAATATCTTAGTATTCTGCATTACAGAAGATGCCATCAGGCGTTAGCTACCCAGAAACAGAGGTTTCAAACTCAGAACATAGCAATACGAATTGAATCGTATTAGTACTGACCCGACAGCGTTGCCTGAGAAACAGTATTGTAACAAGGTTTTATTTTATATTTTAGGATGAAAAACTGTAGTAAGGATCTGCTGAGCTGCTGCAAAGAAATTGCTTTGACAGCCTAAACAAAGGCCAGGACACATACCCACACGCTCAAGCAGAACTTGCCAACACGTGCATGCCTTTGAACAAGACATGGAAATTATAAGCAAGATCCATCTCCACTATCATGTTCTTTAGCTGGGACATGATTTTCCAAGCTTCAAAACTAGCTACCAAAACTTATTTTTGAAATTTGCAAAACAAATCTCAGACAGTTATAAAAAATGCTGCAACTGATTCTTAACTCTTAAAATTTATCCCATTACATAAAATTTAATTTATATTTATCCTATTATATCCATTATGGTGCATTATCTGATACTACTGCCTGGCAGACCGGTTGGGGGTTTATGGGGAAAGAAGATAGGGTGATTGTCCTAGGTAAATTACTACTGCTCTCTCCTCTCCTCCCCGAGTGGAACGGCTAAGAGGGGTTGATTACGGGTATGATCGAGCAGGGTATGAGTGACTCGCTGAAGGCAAGAGAGCGCTTTTATTTGTCTTAATTCATCTTGTCCTTGCCCACTTGGTTTCAGATACGGAGCAAGAGCAGCAGTCACCCCATTACTGAAGTCATACATAAGAAGCATTACTAGATACTCGATAGCTTCCTTTATCAGAAATATTTTCCTACATAGGACTGAGCAGCTGAGGCTGAAACAATTTACCTTCCTGATAACATCAATAACAATGTGACTAATGGGCTTGAAATGCGGCTCAACTAAACCAACTGCAATATATCATGGAGCACAGCACAACAGGCACATCCTACTCAGAGATGGGGAGCAGGGTAGCCAAGCAGCCTAGGGCTGTTCTTGGGAATAACATTTTTGGGACAGACTGCTAGGCCTTGGACTTACTTATTTACCAAACTTGATCTCTACCCAGATGATGAGGTACCAGTAATCCATAGCTGTGCGTGCAGGAGGAAGCCAGTGCTCACACAATGGCATAGTTAATACCTATAGTCATACAAGAGCTGCCTATAAAGCTTTGGCCCATCGTTCAATCCCACTTCTGTGCCTGTGTCCTTACATTCACTTAGCTGTCAAAGAGCATAAGCCATTTTTCCAGGCAATTGGATGCTTAAATGAGATAGGAACCATTTTCAGCCTTAAAGGGACATATGAAAGGGACATAGGCTCCTGCTTCCAACTGATGAAATAGGAACACAAGAGGAACGTGGACTTGAAGTGCGCCATCCTGGAGATAAAGGAGTTATTCAGAATATTGCATCTCTACACTTGCAACTCTAATACTTTCCAACACCAGAGCTCGAAACGACCAGCAAAAGTTGAGGATGTAGGCACACAAAACTCACAATCATGAGATTATTACTAATTTCACTTTACAATGAGATAGCAAATCTTTATGGGCCGAGTTGCTCTAACGCACTGCGCTCGGCATACAAAATGAACTTCAGCTCTCTGTGGCAACCTCAGAAAACAGCTCCATGGGAGGATGCTCCGACTGGCACCAAGTATGTGCATCCTGCCTCCTTCTGAGACACTGCTGCTTACTACCACCATTTCCTCTGACATGAGGAAATGAGGTGCTTGGCCCCAGCTATGCCCAACTCTTTGCCGTCTTTGACACTGTCCTCTCCTGCAGTATCTTGTTGCTTGAGCAGGCCCAGAGAGCTGTTAAACTCCAAACACCTTTCCATATTTGCAGTCTGTTCCTAGGTCACATTTATACAGTGGCCACAAAATTCCATTAGGAATTTTGCTTCCTCTGAGGTTTTTAAATTCTGGTTCGATTCAAGTTTGAATGGAGTTGCCATTAAAATAAAGCAAAACAACTGAAATTATTGTAGCATACTTAGTTTTTCCTCAAAAAGGTAAAATTACTGAATTCCAACTGTCTAAAGTAGGAAAAAAAAGCAGCTGCATAAAGGAAGATGAAGATCTTGTATGTCAGTATTTGCGAATACAGCCCCAAACCTGAGATAAGTAGGGCCTTCACTGGCCTGCAGAAATGATATGAATTAAGAAATACTTGTGGAAGATCCAGAGTAAAAACAGCAAATAAAGACCAGGCAAGGAGTTTTATAATATTAGGTAGCACAGAGGTTTATTCTATCTTTGGCCATTATTGTTATTTGTACTTAACGCCATTTACTGAAATATGGCACCACAAGTATTACATAAAGGATGCCAGGACTACAGGACTTCATGAAACCTTGTCACTTCTTAATCATATAGAACAACAACTGTGGTCAAACCCCAAAACTGCTTATAAAAGTGTATCAGCCTGACGCTGATACAAGTACGGGTGCGTATAAAAGCTTCTGCTATTGGAAATGTTTCTAGTTTGAGCAGAAAAAAAGTCTCCTTATTTGGAACAAGCAAGCTCATGTTTGCTAGGTAACGCGCAGATAAATCACTGTTATCAGTGAACTGTACTCATTCTATCAGATGCTCTTGAATAAGGTCACAGATTCTTAAACCCTGTGACTCGAAATGCTATGTACCCAGAAAGGAAGGTGCTTCTTCATGTTCTTGGTAACTCAGCAGACCAGGGGCTAACGCAATCCACGACTCTTTACATTTTAAATTTAATCAGTTAAAACTCAGATAATTGAAGCAAAAAAAAATTCAGTTACCATTTCACTAACAAAATCCAATGACCTTGTTAATAAACAGGTACTGAGAGCCTAACAACACTTGCAGAGCATTTATTAGACAAGTTTTGACTGCTCAGTTTCCTGCAGAGTGGAGACCTGATGCAAGCAGAAAAAGAGCATAGAGGGAAAAAGGACAGACTTTTACAGAACTGGTGCATTTCTGGTTTTCAAACTAACTTCCACCATAAAGATGAAGAGTGCCTCCTTGTGTATGTAGGTAGAGACCCACATATATACATAGAATAACCATGAAGTTAATTTAACACTCTGTGAGACACTGGGCCCTTTGACAGGACAGAGACCTCTGAAAAGGAAATGTTCTTTTCAGTATAACGTTAAACACTGCACACTGCACTCTTCAGTGCAGAGAGTGTTAAAACTCTCATTTCCTTGACCTCCTTCACCAAGTTGGTATCCCAGAGGTATAAAGATTATGCAGCTCTTCTAATCACATCCTGATATACTTCAGCTAAAAAAAAAAAAATCTATTTCAGAAAGAGAAAACAATTAAATACTTTAAAGTTCGAAAGCACAGAACACATGCTACTTAATAATGATCGGGAAGTAAACGTGTGTTTAAGTTTCTTAATACGCTAAGTTAACATGTTAAGTTTTTTTAATATGCTTTTTCTTGCATCTCGGTAAGCAGAGGTCTTTTTTTAATGGCACTTAAATGAGAGCATTGACATTTCAGAAGAATTCACATTTTCACAAGAAAATGAATTGCATTGGAGCATTCTACAATAGCATATATTCCTAAGAGTAAAAGTGAAACATTTCTCCCCTCCTTTCACAGGAAAATGGAGCTTGAAGAAAGGAATAAAATAAGTTTTAAGTAGGGACAGAAAGCAATGCTCTCTGATCCACACTGATCCGATAAACTATAGCATTCACATCATCCTAAGTTTCTCTTTAAAAATATGCCTGGCAGGAAAAGCTTAAAATCACGTAAACAAGACAGTCCCAGCTGTGGGGGGAGGGGGTAAGAGACATTTTTATATTTTTTCAAGGTTTTTTTTTTAAGCGGGATGTAAAGACAATAGCTTCTTGTTTGGGCTAGTCGCATTCGAAAACAGTACCTAGATCCTTTTCTCCACTTGCTGCAGTAAGTTAAAAAAGAAGTCGTCAATGTAACTGCAATTTTCCCTAAACGTTTTCCCTAAAACAACTCTGTATACAAGTTCAAGGTGTTTAAGGAACAACAGTACTGTAGTCAAAGTAAACTGCTTCAGAGCAGTGAATACGGGAACACACTACATTTACCCATCACTCACTCTACCATTTTCAGAGGTCTAAGAAATCCAACCTCCTCTACACAAATAGAGCAAAGCTATTTTGGTAGCATCGCTACGAAAAGTACCGGAATTACCTCTCCATCCAAGCACCGGGCAGAGCACGAAGCAAGAAAAAGGGCATTTCCCTCTGTCCTGCGATCTTCCCCCCAAAGGCCCTTTTGTGCTCTTTGGTCTTCTTGCAACCTCAGGAACCTGACTACGGGACACCACGTTGTAAGCTTAAGCACTACCAGACACTTTTGCTAAAGCTTTATGGAACTCCCTCAGTAGTGGGAGGAGGCCACACTGTGTTTTCAGGACTGCTGCTTTAACGGCTTAACACCAGATACTGGGGGTAATAAACACGATGGGAGCTGAGAGAAAAACCATCCCATAGAAAGGCGATTATTTACTTCTGTGGGTTTAAAAACGGCGATTCAAGTGCAACTTATTTCACAGCAATCAGCCAGTGGTCTTTAAATTAGCAAGAAGGGTTATACTTACCTCTAGGGCAGATTTCTGTACCGTGATTTGGCTGTAGACTCGAGACCCTTCCGGGCAGACAGTCCTCAGCTCCTCCTTATTGAGGGAGAAAAGCTGCGCTCCCGTCAGCACACCAAGGCTGTTAACGGTCCTGGGGAGCCACACCAACGGGAGAACAGACCAGGAATAAGTACAAACGCACCAGCCAAGTGACAGAAGAACATTTTTATCCCACATAACCTCAGGTAGGGCCACTAAATCAAGACGAAACTTCAAGCAACAGGACACTTGAAGTCAAATCAGTGTATGTCATAACCAGTACCTTCTACTATAGGCTTCTATATATATATATACACATATATGTGTGTGTGTGTGTATAAATTATATATAAAAAATATAAATAATATATATACTTTAAAGAATACACACACACACACACATATATATAGTTTAAATTCCTTTATCCAAGGGCTCACTTGACACACATCTTGATTTTCAGAGGACTGCTTGATTTCGAAAAGTGGACAGACAGCATCTGAACACAGGAGACTCACTTTCGGAAGCTTTCTTACACTTCCCCGCAAACTTACACAGGGTTGAATCCTTTGGACTGCAACCACGCTTTGACATCCTCGGGCGACGAGTCGTAAGTAATATTAACTACGGGGATGTTGGGTCGTGGCACGTGGAACTTCCTCTGGGCAGCGCTGCGGCCGATGGTGAGCCGGTGAATGAGTTCGTCCTGTACCTCCTCCATCTGGGATTTCCTGCCTGCAGAGAGAGGGGGGACATGTGCCTTGCAGCAGTTATTCTCAAGGGGGCTTTAAAATAAAAAAAAGCCAAGTTATTTCTTTTACCCTGCTCTAAACCTTAATCTGTCGGATTTTTCTTTAGTTAGTCAGTTTGTTTTAAGACTCTTTCACCAAGTCTGACGAATTTCTATTTTTACTTTGCTTTTATTTTCCTTTTATAATTTTCCTTTCATTTTCCTTTTTCCTCAGGAAATACTCCCCTTCCTCCCTTTGCAAAACAATAATTAATTTCACAAAATAGGTAGACTCCCAAAGGCTGTAAATATCTTTTCAGGCACCAGAAAGAGAGATTAATTTAGCACAGTTAAAATCTGCCCAGAGTAACTTTGGCATTACTATAAAAATACTTTGACACAGAACTTTCAGTGACCTCAAGAAGTCTCAGGATTTCCTTAGGATGGTATTTTTGGTCAGCTTCATTTAATATTCTCACTTTCCTGCACAAGCAGCAACTACACCAATTTCTCTGATGGACTCCGATGTCAAAAGTCATTCCTTTTCTCCAGTTACATTGATAACAACAAAGGAAAATGACAACCTCACGAGAAAAAGCATAAGATGGCAAAACTGTTTCATTCTCTAATTTCCTTTTATATTCTCCCCAAAGCTGTCCAAGGACCTACAACTCTAGCTACTTACATAAATAAAAGAAGGTAAAAAAACAAAACAAACAAAAAAACCTAAGCTTTGCATAGCCTTCCTTTTTGTGTGTGTAAATCGCCACCACAAAAAAAGAAAAATGCTTGCTTTAGCTATTTTCTCTTTTACAAAATAGCCCCAGGTCGAAAGGGGACAAAATATCTCTAATAAAATGTTTTTTGAGGCATTCAGAGTATTGGTATGTTTTTCCTCAGAGCTTGAATCAGATGCCAAAATGACATGTGCTCAGTGATATGGGAAGGTCTGAGAGGGGATATATGAGTAAAGCCTTTAGGCAATGTTACCCAAGCACGATCCAGTTATTTCCCCAAACAGGAAGAGAGCAAGAAAATTGCTATCTCCCTTCTATTTACACAGATTCTAAAAGACTTACGCTTTAGCTAGACCATGACTGTATCAGAAGATAAATATTTAGCTGCTAGATAAGAGATTCTTACTGGTTTTAGACATGTTATCATAAATTAGCAGAATGCACGCTCAGCTTAAAGCAGTTTCTCTCTTTCATAGTCTCGGCAGGGTTCAAGTGGGTTCTTGGGCAGGAGCCACACCGAAATGCTTACCCATGCCCTTTGCAGAGGCAGCTGTTTGGTGGTAACTGCAAGGTACCTAAAGACCAGTAAGCCTTTAGTGGACAGCTCCTGGTGAAGGCACGGAGGGCGCAGCCGATCTGCTGTAACCTGCTAGTCTGAAGCAAGCCCTCACACCCCAACCTGAATCTCGAATGGGCCCCAAATTTTCCATCCTTAACGGATGGAAAGAAGGCAATCTTGGGTTTAGATGAACACACCTGCAATGTCCATTTTAATGGACATACATGGAAATTATTAAAATGAAATGGAAATAAAATGAGCATTTCTTTTGGGGAACAAGAAGTTCATTCTCACTTTCCACATCTTTTTAAATTGGGTTTCTGCTTTTGTTTAAGTAACACATCACTTGAAATAGGACAAAAGGTAGAAGCTAGCCCTAATGTTTCTTGGAGGAAATAGCAGTGACGCATGTTCCTCCTGGGAGGCTGTTCTCCGTTTATATTTTCTAGCCAAATAATTTGTTACTTGAGGAAACAAAAAAGGTCTCGGTGCAAAAGGTTCCCAGCCTACCTGAGTTCAGAGCTTAGCAGAGAGCCTGTCTAACACCAGGCAGTGTGCAAGCAGGCACCTCTGAGTGAGTTTTGCACTCTGAAGTGTGCTTATTCCAGAAGGCATGCAGTGTGCAGTGGGGGAGAAAGTCTTTCAGCAGAACGGAATATGCTCGGTTCCATTTTTTACCTCAGTTGGAACTGGGATTTTTTGACAAGACAGAGGTGCAGGGGATGGGAAAACCTGTCACCTCCTGAACTGCAAAAAATTTTATTTTATTTTTATAGCTACTGCTTTAGCTGGTTGCAAGCTAGGCAATTACACTGCTTAAAGAAAATTTTGGACAAAAATTATTGATTTATAAAATAAGTTATTTTAAGCCGACTCTCGCCTTTCAACGGATACAGAGTAGGAGCCTCAGCAGTCAGGTTTTATGCTATTTACAAACTGCCGTAAACAATGCTTTCCATGATCTCCACACGCTGCTGGATGCAGCTGGTTGTGTTTTGCCAGACAGAGGGCTATGCAGTACGTCCTCGTGTCCTCTGAAGACAAGGACATGGGAGTTTGCTCAGTGGCCTGTCAACTGCTGGTGTTTTGATCAAGTTAAGGGGATCTGATTATAAAATAATTCCGCCAAGAGACTACTTTTACTGCTTGGTTTCTATGCATCAGCTAGACCTGCAGGTCTTGTTATGGTCTTGAATACGTGCTTCAAAATGATGTAAATGCCCTCAAAATATGGATAACCATCGCCGAAGCATAAAAACTGATTTTAAAAGCGATTTAGATGGTAACGCAGCAGTGAGCCCAAAAGTAAAACGCACGTTAGCCAGAATATCAGCACGGGCAATTGCCAGAGTGCAAATCACTGATCAAAGATCCTAGACAGTCATAAAGTGAGAGGATGAACTTCTGTTTTGGAAGTGGGACAAGTACTTGTAGGAGCCTCTTGCTCCTGCTCACGACGACGACTAGAGAAGGTCGGAGCACTTTATACACAGAAAGCTTATAATTCAAACTCCTCATTATTTTAAAGATTAAACAAAACACACAGGAACAGGAGAAATTTTTTCTGGCGTCTTGGACAAACTTACGATCCGCAGGAAGTTGCTTGTGCCTCTGGCTGTCGCGTGCCACGCTGCCGCCACCACTGTCGCTCGACGTGCTGCTCTGGCGGCTGATGGTCGCTGGCGCTTTGGGCACAGGAACGGGTATGGGTGCTGGGGCACTGGGAGGGAGCGGGACGGCCACGGGGACAGGAGCGGGTGTTGGAGGCGGTGAAGGAGTAACAGGAATCGGGTCAGGCTGTTTTGCAACATGGTCCATCCTTTGTTTCTGAAAAGGCACAGAGAGACTGGGTTCAGCAACAGAACTTGGACGTGAAGTCAGAGGAATTCAGGTTACTGCAGAAAACGCTTGGATGCTTTGCACCAACTCATCTCATTTATTCCAGAAAGACATCTTTCTCGTCAGATATAGTTTTAAAATTTGCTAAAACTTAACTTCTCAGAATTCACAATAATCACAGTCCCTGCAACTCGTTTTTTTTCTTGATTTCCATATACGATTTCTATAAAGGAAAGCGTTTTTAAATTCAAAACTTCTGTTAGCTGGCACTTTTGAATAGCTTCCAGCATTTTTGAATTGTTGGAATTTATCAGTATAAAAACATATGTTTTAGAGATGTTAAATAAAAAATAGTGAAAAACAAACATTTCCAGCCACACCTAAGCCTGACTAACTTACAAACATCACTGAGATTGGGGTTACTCTTTATTTCTTGAGCTGCAGACATTATGTAAGAAGTTCCTGCTCCTCCTACCAATTTTCATCTGTGACATTTCAACTATTTGTGTGACCATTATAAGCCATAGTAATGTAAAAATCCAATTAAAAGCAAAAAACAAACAAATGCCCAAAATACCACCCCCGCCCCAAAATCTCCACAGTACTTGGGGATGGTTGGTTTCTCCTTCCCTTTATGTGTTACAAAAATGTGGAAATTATCTTGCTATTAATTACCAACTGCGGCAGTCACATACTAGGTGTCTTAAGAGTAGTTCTGAGGAATGCTTTCTTCTCCCCTTATACACCTTTAGAACGGTGCCAATTACAGCAAAAGGGGTCCCAGTGACGGACAAGCCCAGAAGCCAATCTATACCACCCTTTTATTTCAAATAGTTCAAAGTATACGTCTCACTATTTTAACAGTGCTCCCTCCCTGCACTTTTGGACTAACATAGCTCAAAAGTTTTAATATTAAAAGTTTGTTTGCTCAGTAGTGATACCTCATTTCTGGGATATGAGAAGTCTGCTTACTTTTGGTAAGAAAATAGATGAGCACCTTCCCCAGACTCATTCCTCCTTCCTGAAACACACTTCCCTATTTCCTTGGAGGCATAGGGTTCATGACAGGTTAAGTAGGAAAACATTTGTAGGAGTCATATGTTAAAATCTGAGCAGCACATCACTGCCCTGACAACAATCAAGCTTTCATTAAACGTCAGCAACTGTCTTTACACAGAAATCTCCAAACTGCTAAGTCTAACTGGTAGATGGAGAAGGAACACAAGGCATTTTGTGGTTAATGTAAACCAGGACTATGACAGCCAAGCTGCGCTGAGTTACACCAGCGTAAAATTTATCTGACCGGCTTCTATGGCCGATCAATTAAGCCTAAGACAAAAATCTTTTGTTTCTATGAAATATTTTTTAATTTAAATTGCAGCGATCAGCTATTCAAGCATACATACAGTCCTACATTATACTCCCCATCAAACCTCTTTTTTTTTCTTTTTTGTTCCTAGAGTTGAGTTGCTTAAATGCATTAATCTCAACTATTTTGCATTCAGCTTCTGCAGCACATTGTGGAGAGATTTAAAAAAGTCACATGATTTACTACTACTTTGATGACAAGACAATAATTGCTTTTTAAAATGTCAAATGCCAAAAAAGTGATATGCAGAATGTAAAAGAGAAACGACAGAATAACGTATATTCAAGAAATCTGTTCTTTGGTGGAAACAGAGTGCCCTAGAATAGGTATATAGCAATTATACCATAATTTATAATGTATCGATGTACTATAGCATATCCAAAATCAGGTTAATGAATTGAAGTCCTTCACAGGTATTACAATGTCATACTGATATTCAGAAATAATTTTACCTTGTTCACAGATTCAAAAATTCTAGACCATTATCCCCACAATGTACTGTCACGTGTACCCCTGCCCCTAACTTTCTTAAACAACATGCAAGGAAAAAGCACTGCTCTTTTTCTGATAGAGATGATCCATTACAAAGCAAGGCATCCACTGCATATCACCACAATCACAATTCAGAAATAGCGACAGCTACACAATTCAGAAACACAGTCAGCTAAACACTACATGTAGCTCTCAACTGATGCTACTAATGTGATTTCTGAACTGTTGTACTGCAACCACAAGCCTCATCAAAACAACCTGCTGTAAGTTGCAGTGAAAATAAAGGAAGCAAGCCTCACTCAAATTCTACATTTACAGATGAAACCAAACTGAAATATGCCTCGAATTTTGTAGAAATTTTTGTGCATAAATGCCAATTACACATCAGAATCAATTTAACTTTTTTTTTTTAATTATTTTTTTAAAAACACCAGATCTTTTGAGGACATCCATACCTTCTCTTCCAATCACTTCTACTCATTTCTACAAACAAAGCAAACATGCACTATGGCATTTTGTAACTGCACAGCCCAAAAGACTCATTTTTAAGGTTCAGTATCAGAAGAGCAATTTTGTTACCTCTGAAAGCTCTCCCAGCAATTGCTGTGAGGAAAATGGAGTAAACACATCAAATAGTATTGTTAAAGAATTAAAAATAACTGCCCCACACATCGCTCCTGAAATTTCATACACATTAGCAATTTAAAAGCAGAAGAACATCAGTAATTACCTCTTCTTATTCACTAAGCAACTCGCATAATGAGTTATTTCCATTTTCTTTTTTTGAATATTGGGTGAAACACCGTCTACCCCAACATATATAAGTGATAGCATATAAAGAATGAGCTCTTTTCAAAGCACCTATCCAAACAGAGAGAAAACTTAGGTGTTAAAACAAACAAACAAAAAATAATGAAAACAACAAAAAAGAGGACGGATAAAGATCATAAGATAAACATAGGGAATACTTGCAACTGTACAACATTAAGAATCAAATCACAGCAAATACTTTTTTAAAAAGTACTTATTTGAGCTAAAAATGTGGCCTAACTTGCAAAACGATGTAAAGGGACACTCCTGACAGACATGTACCCAGTATTTTGCTGACTGCTATCAGAATGATAAACACTCCTTGTTTATTCCTCCGGTTCCTTTTTTTTTGTTTCTTTTAATAATGGGCCAAATCATAGCTCATAGAAATCAGAACAAATTCATTAAATTATTTGGAACAGTGATGATATACACTTATTAAAAATCTGGATATATCAGAGAACCTTTCTAGTATTAGATTTTTTTTTTTTTGCCAGAAAAATCTTTGTATTCCACACAAAAAATGTAGGTTTCAATGTACTTTTAAAACCTGCTACAGGTTATATCTTGTCAAAAATCAAGATATAGTATAGTATTTTCAAATATATACCGGAAACAAGGTATATAGACTTTCAAACTATGGAAAAGATGCATTTAACATTAAACAGTCATCAGATATTAACCATAATTAGAAGCAGTGCTAGGAAATGCTCTCATTAAGTTACCACAGACAGAGAGCTTCCCATTTATTCTCTTTCCGAACATTTTAATGTCACGTCCTTGCTTGCACAGAGACAGAACTTCACCAAGAGGGTTGCAGAGAATTCAGTCTTGGTTTTGTTAACAGCACTGTGCTTTAGGTGTCTTCTTGAGACTCATGCCTGGCTCTCCCATTTGGGACATGGGCCTCCTTCTTTTGGCTAATTTTTTTTAAGAGACAACAGGGAACCAATTTTTTGTCTATAACCAAAAGGAACAATGAAGTACTCAAGACTGGGAGAGAAAATTTCAAGGGAGGTCTCTCGCCAGAGTTTCCTTTGGTGGGCTCAACTATTGCCCACAGCCAGCCGGCTGCCTATTAAAATCCCATTGCAAAGCATCTAACTCACACTTTGTTGGGTATAAGGAATGTATTTTTCAATTAGACTTATGAAACCCAATTCCACAGCACCAGACGCACAAAAGTTGTGTGTGATGATGATTTGTGTCGTCAGACCTAACCCTTTTGATATGTGTGGGTCTTTCTATCCCTTAGGTAGCCAATTACTTCTGAAATGAAAGCAGCAGTATCACAACAGCAGGCTAGAAAGCAAGAAGTACCTTGGAACAGAAGAAACGGACAAGACATTTAGACAGAATTTAATTATTCAAATTGGTATTAGACAGCATTAGTCTCCATTTCTTACAAAATACATTTTTAGTGGGTGAACTGGGAACATGTAATTCCCATCATTAATCAAGTCCTTTTTACAGATATTCAATGGTCCTTCTGTAAAATAAATGCCATCCCATAACTTGGGACTGGATCAATGTTGAATTGGAGAGAAAATGACTGATTTTTTTAAATCAATAAGTCTTGGTTTGATAGCAACTGTAAAGAACATTTAATACGAAAGGAGGTAAAACAGATACTGGCTCATGGTCAAAAATATGACATCTCTTTGGCCACTACAAACTGAGCACCT